AGAATAGCCCAAACAGCAGTGAGAAGCCTGCCGGAGGTTCGGCTCAGCCGATCCATATGTTGGATCGGCTGAGTCGAACTCCTTCTGCACTTCGGGTCGGCCGAAGCAAGCCAATGTACGGCTGATTTCAGCCGATATACGGCTGAAATCAGCCGTACAAGCCTGAAGTGAATAGCCGAACAGTGTTCGGCTCACTTCACTTGGGGTCGGTTGTTCACTCGGCTGCCCTCGGCAGTCGGCAGCTTAGTGAATAGACCCGTTAGTTTTCAGCTGTAAGAAATGGAGCATTACATGTAGTAATATAAATACCACATGTGTTTTGTTTTAGTGAATTGAATCTTTTGTCTAGTAAAAAATATTCTTTTTATTCTGTTACTGGATTTTGCCAGTGAATACAATCCATACTCTGATTGCAATAACATTTATTACAGAGATCAAGTGCTCCGAATCATCCCACAGACAGCAAAACATGCTGAGCATCTGCAAGAATTAACCAATCGCTGGCTGGTAAGTAAATTGCAAACTACTTAGAAGTGGCTGAGGAAAAAATAATTGGAAATGTTCACCTATGTTTGTAATCAGCAACTACTTTTCATAACCTTATAACAACCTCATAATAATAATTAACAATAATAATGATAACCTTTTTGTATATAGCACCATTATTAAAGGTACTTTCCCAAAGCACTTTAAAATAGAAACAAAAACAAGAACAAATGATACACAAGATAAACAAAAAAGGAACCATTAGGCTCCATTCACAGTTAGGAGTCAGTGTATTTGTGCATATTAGCGTGCGTTATGTCTAGCGTGTTTAGCATGCTTTAGTGAGTAGATTGAAATACATTGCGGTAAATGGACAAACACGCGCAAAAATTAGCACAGAAATGTGCAAAAGGTTTGTGTCGCACATTTCCTTTGAAGTCTATGGGGCCAACCCCCTCCCCCCCCCGTAAGCTGCCAAAAGAAAGCTTGTGTACTTTTTACAGAATTCAGCGTTTTACAGCTTGCGACAAAACTCTCAGGTGTGAACAGGGACCATTGAAATGAATGGGATTTCTTGTGTTGAGAGTTTTGTCGCGCTTAGCTTTGAGCATCAAAACACCTAGGGGTCTATTCACAAAGCTGCCGAGGGCAGCCGAGTGAATGACCGATCAGAAGTGAAGTGAGCCGAACACTGTTCGGCTATTCACTTCAGGCTGGTACGGCTGATTTCAGCCGTATATCGGCTTTGATCGGGAGCTGTACGGGCTATTGTGAATAGCCGTACAGCACCCCCTCGGTTCTCCTGAACCGAAGGGGTCCTGGTGCCGAAGCTAGCCGAAGGATCGGCCGAAGCTACGGCCAGATCCTTCGGCAGCTTTGTGAATAGACCCCCTAGTTGTGAACAGGGACTTAGCTGATGGCTTTTCTAAAGGAGAAAGTTTTCAGTTTGATTTGAAAGAGTTTTAAAAAAGGTCACTCTCTTCTTGGAAAGAGAATTCCAGAGTTTTGGGGCATAACATGAGAAGATCCTGTCTTCCACAGAAGTGAGCAATCTAGGACAACATAGCTGATTTGGAAAAATTATTCAATTCAGTTCACTTTCTAGTTCAGCTATGTTGTCCCAGATTGTTCACTTCGCCTGCCTTCTCAAAAATCTTCACTATTTTGTGAATAACCCTGTATATTTTGTGATGTTCAAACCCAGTTTTGACAAGAAAAGACTGTGTTTCACCTGCTTTTGTTGAGTTGATTTTCTTTGGATAAAGCATGTTCAATTAAGGTGCATTTAAATTGCAGGCAAAGCAGGTCAAACAAGCCTTTTCTTGTCAAGAATGATCATATACATGTGCCCTTGCTGATATAAAGGGCCCTAACTAGTAGACATGTGCACTGCCAAAAAATTTGTTTAGTTTCGTTTCGTTTTAAATTCGGATTTGTGTTATTTTGTTTTTCAGGATTCGGGTGTGAAAGTCAATTCGGATTCGGAATTTGGATTTGGACGAAATTCGGTAGCGTTAGTACGAACGTTCGTTTCGTTTTCTGTTCTTATTCGTTTCTTATTCGTTTCGTTCGTTCGTTTGCAGCAAAAGTGACATTTGAGGGGGAAAAAATATTTTTCTCCTCTAATGTCACTTTGCTCCAACGAACGAAACGAATAAGAAACGAATAAGAACAGAAAACGAAACGAACGTTAGTACTAACGCTACCGAATTTCGGAAATGGAAATTCGGATTCGTTTGCATTCGTTATGTCTGTAATTCCGAATGTCCGAATTTCCGAAAATTTGTCCGAATTTCGATTCGGAACGAAACGAATCGCACATGTCTACTAACTAGTTAATTGTATGATTTTATACAAAAGGGGTGCAAGCTTCTCGTTATTGTCAGGCAGCCTGTGTAGTTCAGGCACCTCAGCCTGTGCCCGGAATACCCTTTCGGCAGCTTCTAACCTTTGACTTCAGCACATCCCAGGATAATTCTCTGATTGTGTGTTCCGTCTTCAGGTCATATCTCTGTTTGGTATCTGGGGCCGGCCGGTGGCATCACTCGGTCAGAGCATATAGTTTAAGTCCTAGGGGCATCCAAGTACCAGTAGCCACACCTGCCTTATGGCAATGGGGGCTGCTATAGGTGAAACAACTCATCACTATTTGCCCTGACTGTATGGGGGTGATTTACTAACCTAAACACACAGCAAAACGTATCTATCAACCAAAAAGACTCTAAAAGCATATTTCCACTAATGCCATATATGGAAAAATCATGCACATGATGCATATATAATGCTGCTTTACAGTTTAGACAAAAATGGTTAGCTCATGCATTTACATTCCTGCATTAATCAACGCAAGCAACACAACATAGAGCTAATTTATACAACATTACCTTGCAATTCATGCTTGGCTTTGCACAACACACCTGCTGGGTGTGTACACACTACAAAGGTGTTTAGATTCCACCCATAGATCATGCTGGGAGGGAACACACTACAGAGGTGTATACATGTTCATGGTGTGTTTATAAGGTTAGTAAATCAACCCCTATGTGTCCACTGCCAGTCCTGATAGTTATGGGTTCAAAACAGATCCCTGTCTCCTTCTACAATACAGGTATAGATAATAGGTAAAAATTAAAATAAGATTATTTTTAAACTTTGAGCTTATTTTATCAATTTTTACTGTAACATGCGCATATTGGTTATCTAGGAGATGAAGGAAAAAGCTGTGATGTATGAAATACATCCTTGCAAACAAACTATTAAACACAAGCATACAAATTAATATTGAGTCAATTATTAAGCACACTTAAAAAAATAATGCTGTTGGTAACCAACTAAATAGACCAGGGTAAATAAATGTTTTTTTTCCTTTCAACATAACCGTAATCATCAATGTAGCTAAAATGTTAACTCATATGTGGTGCATGTTTTATTCTGTTTCCAGCTGGATTTGTGGCAGCCAAACATTCCTGAAGGAATAAATGCCGGAAGAGAGGTCCATGTCCGAATTCCATCTTCTCATGTTAATGAAATGAAAGATACACTTCTCCAATATGATATCCCATACAGGTATGTTCTTGTATTTAGAGCAAGTTTGGAGAATAGAATAGAAAAATAAGCCTGTATATAGATAGGAAAAGGTCTATCCCAGGGTAGGCTGCGAGACATCATCCTAATCTCAAACCTGTTGCTGATGCCCACCTTGATCTTTTCTGGGACTCAGATAATATGAAAGTGACATGCATGATAAAAATCTTGTTTTAGAAAAGAGTGCTCTTGTCTTCTCTGTGTCACATTTTGTTATAATCATTTAGTAATGAGGACACTAAGACTGGCCTGCCATGTGATCATTCAATAAAAAGTCTGTCTTTATATGTTCTGGGAATTTTTCATGCAGTTCCTTAACATAAAGAAGGCTGGCCTTTATCTTTACTGCTCCTTTTACAATATATACTCATTATGTACCTACAACTATTCATCTATTTAACCTTTTATTAGTTTAATTACCATAAAGTATATTTTCACCTGGCATGTAGGTGGTGTGTCGAGTTGGTGTGTACGTGGATAGAGAACTGGCTACGGGAACGGGTCCAGAGGGTATCTGTAAATGGCATTTGTCTGTAAATTTTTCACCATTTGTCTATTTGTATTTATGTATTTGTATTTATCTATAATTTGTGTTGTCCTTCACATCTGTTCTATTTGCAATAGCTTGTAAAATGAACTGTTTAGAAGCAATGGTCAGATAACTTTATGTCTATTGATCCCCTATATATATCTTTTTCCTTTTTAGTGTATTAATTGATGATGTGCAACAAATGATAGATATGAACAATGTCTATAATAAAAAAATGAAGGCTGTGTCTTTGGAAACATATGATTATACTCAATATCACCCCATGGATGAGGTAAGAATTACATTTTTAAATAAGCTCTGCAGTTTTCACTTTGCCCTTTTTAGTCTTGGGGAGATTTCCCCTTAATTGCTGTCTTGGAGATGCCACAGGAAGTATAAGGGAATCTCTCCTGATAAGTTAGCCTTTGAATAAATGGCATCAGAAGCCTTGTAGATATGCAATCTGTGTATTGGTTTATAGTAGAGTACGATACGCATCGGTTCACACCTCAGATAGGATGAAAGTGTGACAACTTAAATACAAAATCCAAAACATTATATAGGCTATCTGCGGGCACATATCCTAGGGGAAGATAGGAGTTCCCCCAACTATCAAACAATGGGTGTATTAATACATGACAGTTTATATGAGATTAATGTCCAACTGGAAAGGTCATTCTGACCTGGCATACTAGTTAATTGATAATTATTTCTCAGAAATGAATATATTGACGTCAAACCATAAATCACTATCTTCCTGTTTTCCTACTAAATAGTGGGGGAAATGAGATAACGTCCATTCACATAACTTGATCCAAGAAGAGTTCTTTGGACAAAAACAAGTTTTCGCAAACACTAAGCCATGAGTTCATATTCAGTTCATCGTAGATCTGACTCCATTTTGTATTCAACATGGCTTCATCTTATCACTCCATAGATAGTAAAAACCTCTTTTAGACAGTTGTTACTTATTGGAACCAGTTCCTCTATGTATAGTTTCCTCATATCTTCTCCTTAGGTGAAAAACATAGCATTTTAAACTTGCACAGGAAATGCAAAAAGCCAAAAAATGATGTAACATTTTGAGGGCACACAGGACCTCTTTTTTAAAACATACATATTACATTTTCCAAATTGCTGTATATAAAACCCATGATCTATTAGATAAGTGCAACCACTTACCCTCAGAGGGATATTCAGAATCATTGCATAACCTGTACTTAGCATTATCATATTGTCAAGATATGCAAAAATGTTGGACAAGAAACACCTCTGCCCTGGTCCATGATCTGTGTTCCTATTGGTGTCTGGCTGCCTAGCAACCCAAATGCCTCTAATGTCGATAAATGCAAAGTAATGCACTTTGGAGTTAAAAATAGGCAAAAGGGCTATACAATTATGGGTATGCCACTATGGAATTTAGAAATGGAGAAAGATTTGGGGGTCATTGTAGACCACATATTCAATAATAGCTTGCAGTGCCAAGCTGCTGAAAAAAAACTATCCTGTATTAAGAAGGGGATGTATTGCAGAGACAAGTTTATAATTTTGCCACTTTACATCACTAGTTCGGCTTCATCTGGAGTATGCGGTCCAGTGTTGGTCACCAGTCCATAGAAAGTATGTCCTTGAGCTGGAAAGAGTCCAGTGGAGGACAACCAAACTCATTAAGGGGATGGAGGACCAGAGCTATGAGACAAGGCTATTAAATTTAAATATGTTTACGTTGGAAGTGAGAATATTAAGGGGGGACATGATTTTCATGTAAAAAATGTTCAATGGGGATAGCAACATTAGCAACAAACTCTTTACGGTTAACCCCATAACAAAGACTAGAGGCCACCATCTAAAATTGGTGGAGAAAAAATTTCAGCACAAGGGGCGAAGGGGGTTCTTCTCAGTTAGAGTGGTTAGGGTCTGGAACTCGCTGCCACATGCAGTGATTTCAGCTAAGAGGGTGGAATCATTCAAGAAGCTCTTGGACAATGTCCTTAGAGACCATAACATACAGGGGTACAGGTACTCTTAAGAACAAGATCACACATGGACTCATACACACGCACACACCAGCAGAACCATATACATACACGCAATAGATTGCACCAATTGCATACTTAATGTTGTAAAGCAGCAATCGAATTAAAGCAGGTCTGCCACTTGCCAGGAGAGACACTGCCATGGCGAAGACAGCTTCTCTCTTCACCAACTTCTGCCTCACTTAGCTCTGCCATATGCATGTCACTTCAGACCTCTGTTAATGTTTATTGAAGTGTGCCTTAACAACTCCTATAGAAGAAGCTTTGCTGAAGAATTTTCTAGGCACTGGGGAAGAGGCATTGGAGGTTCTGAAATTCCAGAAAGCACTGGAAAATGATAGGGCAAGAGGACAGAACAGATCCAGTTTCCACTTCCTGTCTGCACACCAGCTTTGCCAACCAGAGGGTCCCTCTAACCACTTCCAGCACCTTCCTAGTGGGCCATGTGGGCCATAAGGGCCAACCAATAGCAGTGCCAGCCAGTACGTTTGACAGCCATTATCTGTGTCAGCCTGTACCAGTGACAGCCAGTACTTGTGCCAGCAATTACCAGGACCAGCTGTACATGTGCCAGTTATTACCCTTTTACATCACTTCCCTTTTAAAGAAACATGAAAACACTTGCAGGGCTCTAGGCAAGCTTTTTTGCTAAGCTGCTTTAACACATTACAAGCGTGTGCTAAAAGCGAGTTAACACTATAGGTCCAATAATCAGTGTTTCTCTTTTCTAAATGTTCAACTCATGTGAACAAGGCCTCATTGTTCCATTGAGGAGCGTTAATGCATGCACGTCAACATGCGTGATGGTATGTGTTAACTTGTGTTGCCTTAAGGTGGGCTACATAGTGCATACTCTACTGTAAAATGTAGATTTTTACTTTTTACTGGGGCAAAATTCACAATAAATGGCACTGAAACACACTGCACCTAAAGCATAAAGGAGTGTTACAGAAACATACGTTAATATGTGCACTGCCACAATGCACAAGTGTAAATTAACCCTTAACAGCACTTTTCCTTTTATATTTAAAGTTAACTTTAGCTAAACTATATTTGCATTTTAATTATAGATCTATGACTGGATGGACCAGATTAAAGAGAAACACCAAGACTTGGTGACTAAACTGTATTTGGGATCAACATATGAAAGACGATCAATATACTATTTTAGGGTAAGTTCAAATAATTTTAAACCTCCCACTGATAGGACAGTCTATCTACTGTATATTGGAGAACCTATGAGGACCTCACAGGAAAATCTAGCGGCCCACCCCATATGCCCATGTTAAAAGCTATTTAGTTAAAGTCCTTGTTTTTTAGCCAGGAAAATATAACATTCAGAATGCTAATTGATGCCTATGTGTTATGTGTGTTTTTGTGCTAGTACACTAGTAATCCCTAATTTTCTTTCACAGATTGGATGGCCATCTGAAAAGAAGAAAAAAGTCATATTTATTGATTGTGGAATTCATGCTAGAGAATGGGTCTCTGTAGCTTTTTGTCAATGGTTTGTAAAAGAGGTAAATAATACATGTGTATGTTATTTTTGAGAATCCATTAAGAAACCTAACCAGGTTTAAGAAAAAATAAGAATAAGAGGGAGGGCTGCTATGGCTCATAATTAATAATCTTAGAGAGCAAACACAGTTTGAAAAATTATGTGTACAGTTGGAGCTGTTTTAAGACATTGGTAGGCAGAAGCAATGACAAGTTCCATATTTAATGAACACCACTCAAAAATACATCATAAAACACAGGTAGCAGATAGAACCAGGGGCAATTATATCTATCCCATTTCCTATTTACTTGGGATGTTAGGAAGTAGACCTTTTTAAGGTAATATATAGTGATTTTGTATTTTTTTATTTTTTTTATTTAATTAAATGGGTCAAGAGTAAATAAAAAATCTTAAAATATATTTCTTAAGCAGGTAAATATGATATATTGCATATTAAAAATCTGTGCTCTCTTTTGGAGCCACCAGGTGGAGCTTTAGGCTCTCAAATGGCTAAGTCCAAAGTTTCAAAGAGAGCCAGTCTGCCTTAAAAGAACACGTTTACAGCTGTGTTTATTTTTAGCTAACTAGTGCAGTTTAGAAACTTAAAAACTTACTAACCAAAAAAACCTCTGACCGTAAACCATTATAGTTTTCCTTTTGAAGCTGAACTCCTCCTATTTTTCATTCGCCCTCTCCCTTTCCAACTAACCAATTAATTAAAAAATCCTTCTACACCTATATCTTTAGTCACATGAAGTGCAACAAGTCCTCTATTGTCTTCCCTGCACATCGGGGCAGCACTCAACGCACACACATACAATGCCCTAGGCATGCGTTTATTTGCATGCAGATGGCAGAGTTGTTTTAATTATTTTTCATAATTATTTTTTTTAACTTTTGTATCACTTTTTTATTTTTTAAATTTTTAAATTTGAATTATTATTTCTTATTATTTTTTACTTATTTTTTAAATTTTGTGTTTATTTTATTGTTTTTTACTTTTTATTTTTTGTTGAATTTTTATTGTTGTGACAGCTGAGGTGGGAAGGCTGCGAGTGTTATCAAGCAGTAAATATATGCCCCATGAATAAAAAAGGAGGCAAATACCTAATTACTTACCTGTTCTTGCGCCGCTCACTCCCGGCTGAAGAACTTCTGGCTCCCTAACGGCTTAATGTCACTTTAATGCAAACAAGAATAACAGTGTAGCGCTCATTGATCATACAAAGTGTCAAAAACAGTGTTATAAACAATCCTTGAACTGTGATAAACCAATACAAACATAGAAAAGTCAAACAAAGTTTCAAGGAATCGTCCCAAATATCAGTGTATAGGAATTCAGTCCACCAAAGTAAACTTAAAATTATCCACATTTCATAACAGTTTTAGGAATATATCACTACTAAGGAGAGATTATCAAGCTGAAGCAGAAATTCCAATAAACTCTGCAAGTCTGATTTTGCTCACCTTTTAAAATATTTTAGTGTGGTCTCAATAGCATTCCCATCATAATAAGGGTAAATGTAGTTCTCCTCCATCAAAGGTGTCTCATCTCTTGACATCCGCCTGAATTCAGTTTATTCATTTTATATGTAAATATTTTATACGGAATTAAGCTATGTGCTATATCCTTTTTCTTTGTGTATGAGCGCTACTGAATTCAGGCAGATACCAGGAGACTTTACAATAATAATGAGACACTAAGAGCGCAAATCCAGAATTATAAATGGTTTGATTTTGTATATTTGTGAAAAAGTGTTTTTTTTAAAAGGTGAAAAACTTACTTGTGGTGTCAGGGATCTGGGCACGGTGGCGATTCTAGCGCTGCAGGGAGTGATGGTTAAAAATTTTTGTTCAATTTCCAGTGGTCTCCAAGTGGCAGAGTAGGGATTAAATAGGGCTTGCTTTAGGGGTTGTTTATGGCGGCTGGGAATGGTGTCATCAGTTATAGTGATGAGCTCAGGGGTCAAGGACTGAGGTAGAAAGCAGGTTGAATGCTAGGTGTGCCAAAAGGCTGATGTGCAAAATGCCTCTGGTCTTCGTGTAGTATATGTTCTAGAGGTGATGGAGTGGAAGTGACAGTCGATTGGGAAGGGGAGTGCACATGGCCGTGACAGTGAGCAACACGTTTCGAGGAGATCCTCTTTTTCAAGCTCGGAGATAGAAGGTGAGTCTTTACCACTAGCACGTAACCACCATGTAGCCAAGGCTGCAGGATCTGCTGCTATGCTGCAGAATACAAATAACTATTGGAACAAATCCCATTCTATGATAGAATCACACTAGTAAGTTAAAGTAGAATGAAACCTTCCTTTATACAGTATCTACTGCTAGCAAGCAGTAGATATATGCAAAAACATTCACCAAAAAGGTTATTACTTACCTGTGTTTCTGTCGCTCGCTTCCATCCAAAGATCTGAAGCTTCCTCAGTGGCCATGAAGGATCATGGGGCGGGCGCATGCGCAGTAAAGATCTTCGGCCGGAAGAAGAGGAGAGACACAAGGTAAGTCAATGCACGCAGCCGGTAGCAGACAACGTGGGACAGGAAGACACAACAATCAGTGCTGGATCAGAGACCGGCACCAGCGCTGGAGGGACTCCTGAAAACTACTGGAAAGAAGAAGACGATCGGATCAAGAGGCATCATTTAATGTCACTTTAAATAGTAAAATATAAGAAACCTGACCCTGAAATAAAGAAAAAAACTGTCTTTTAGTACTGGTATAACACTCCATTGAGCCAGAATTTAGCAACAAAATAAAATTGTCATCCCTGTTATGGTCTGCCTTCTAGAGGCATGAGTTGATGTCAAGGGGATCCTCCATGTTACAAGTAGGGTGCCTAATAGTTGTCAAAGAGCAACCCTGCTTAAAGGTCTTCACCAAAGCCACTGATTGTGCAGATGTTGCGAGTTTAGCAAATCAAAGAAGAGGACATTTCAAAAGTTATTGCTTTAAAGCATTTTAAAGTATGCACTAATACTGTTACCTATTTAACTTTTCTTTATACAATATTCTAATCCACAGCTTCTTTCAACTCATCAAACTGATGCTATTCTTGCCAAAGTCCTAAAAGAGGTTGATTTCTACATCGTACCTGTATTTAACATTGATGGATATATTTACACGTGGACAACGGTAAGCTTAACAAAAAGTAAAAAAAGCATATTGCTATCTATATATTTAGGCAGACCTGAGCAAGCAAAAAACATCAGTTAGCATGACTAAAACTCTAGAACTAGGGCTGGACCGGGGCAAAACATAGGCTGAGGAACCCAATCACATGACCCCTGAAGGCTCCACACCATTGCAATCTGGGGGTGAAGCCAAACACAGAAGGGCAATCAAGAGGTGCTGCTGGTAAGTACAGGAGTGCTACAGCCATCACACAAGCTTTGCTACAACCAGCATACAAACCTTAGCAACAATATAGGAAGCTTGCTGCAGAGAAGTCTTGTGATATCCTCAGCAGATCTCCTCCTTCCCAGCCATCCTCCACACCCCGAGCATGGTGTACAGGTTAGTTCTCCAAAAATAGTGTTCATAGTTCTCCAGCAACTCTGGCACAAAATCACCTATTCTGTACACAAGCAAACCACAACACCACCGGTCACCACTGAGAGTCTGGGCAGGAAACTTTGATGTGCTGTGATATGTAATTTCTGCTCCAAACTGAAAGCTTTATGTGTAGCAGAGAATGTTGACATTCAGGTGGATGCTCGCAGAATCTAAAGCAGTCATATGGGTAATAAAATGTGGCCTGCAAGGAGCACAGATGGCTGCCTTAGGCCTCACCTCTGCCTAATTTGCCTACTTACAGGGGACAACATATATGCAGTATACAGTCTATGGGTGGCACATACAGTACAGGCTCCATAGGGGACAGGCAGGTATAGGATAAATATGGGTCCATGGTGTACAAATGAGTATTCAGTAAGCAGGAACCTTTGAAAAGAAAATCATAATATTATAATAATATTATCACCCACACATATTAATATTACCCATCTTCTACAATGGTGTTACTTACTGATAATTCATACTCATTATTGGCCATATGAGGAGTGGCACACACCGGCCTCCTAGCATCCTCAGATGCACATCCCACACCAGCCCTGGGGACGTGTACACCTAAAAAGTCTGCAGCCAGAGCCGGAGCAGCAGCAGCCCGAGCCAATCCCAGCAATACATTATACAGCAATGCAGAATACCACCATCTTTATATGACTACAAAACCCAGCATCACATTATACAGCAATGCTTAATAATACCACTAACTATAGGGGACTACAAATCCCAGCAATATATTACACAGCAATGCTTAATAATACCACCAACTATAGGGGACTACAAATCCCAGCAATATATTACACAGCAATGCAGAATACCAGTAGCTATAGATGACTACAAATACCAGCAATACATTATACAGCAAATGCAAAATACCATCAGCTATAGAGGGCTACAAATCCCAGCAATACATTATACAGCAATGCAGAATAGTATATACATTTGCTACATACTCTGCTGCCGCTCTGCTCCAGGGTGTCGGCATGATGTCTTGGGTGGAGGGTCTCAGCAGCGCAGATGTGGAGGATCGCAGCAGGGACAGATGTGGAGGATTGCATCAGGGCAGATGTGGAGAATCGCAGCAGGACAGATGTGGCAGATCGCAGCATGGACAGATTTGGCACATTACAGCAGGGGCAGATTTGGCACATCACAGCAGGGGCAGATTTGGCACATCAAAGCAGGGGTGATGTGGCAGATATCGCAGCAGGGGTGATGTGGCAGATATCGCAGCAGGGGAGATGTGGCACATATTGCAGCAGGGCAGATGGAGGGTTTCATCATGGGCAGATATGGCAGATTGCAGCAGTCGTGATGTGGCAGATTGCAGCAGGGGAGATGTAGCAGATATTGCAGCAGGGGAGATGTAGCAGATATTGCAGCAGGGGAGATGTGGCAGATTGCAGCAGGGGTGATGTGTCAGATCGCAGCAAGAAAGATATGGCAGATTACAGCAGGGGTGATGTGGCAGATATCACAGCAGGGGAGATGTGGCAGATATCACAGCAGGGGTGATGTGGCAGATATCGCAGCAGGGGAGATGTGGCACATATTGCAGGGCAGATGGAGGGTTTCATCATGGGCAGATATGGCAGATGGCAGCAGTGTATAATACCCTAACTAAGGGAGGCTATGGAGCTCAGCTGCGGAACCCCGTTCCGCGTCACACACCCAAGACCAAGGGTGCTTGTGCAGCAATGAATCTCGCCACTAGGTTTTGCGCATCATTGCACCAATCTCCCAAAAGAGTGATAGTAACAGTGGAACAATTAATTACAGCGAGGTTAATCAAGTTGAGGAGTCTCACTCAATGCACCTGTTAAGCGGACCCGTTGGTGTAATGACAAGATCGATCTCCACAATCACTGACTGTTCTTGTCACAATACAGTATTGGTAGGAATTATCAACAAAGTTCTGAGAGTATAGCAGTTTCAATAACAGTTCACAGTTCTCAGTTGTACAGCAAGCAGCGCCTATGAGTTACCACCGGATGGCAATAGAGAGCTACACAGTATACTTGCGGTTAGCTGTTCTCAGGGAACTGATCCTCTCCTTAGACTGGTGAGCCCGCAATTGGATGAAGTGGCAGCAGGGACTTGCCAACGATCTGCTCGATCTGCGTGGGCATGTGAGGGCTCTGTGAGGAGAGGGTTTGTGTAGAGGCTCCGTTGTGCTGCGAGGCCAGTGAAGGTCTGGCGTCCGCATTGATTGCTGGAACGCCAGACATCTGAAATCTTCCGGTTTAAGAGGAGGAGGGGGCGGAGCCGTGTGACGTCATCGGCCCAGGAGCGACACCCCGCGGCGTGTCTGTGACGTCACGCGGGTGAGCCGCCGGGAGCCGTTACACAGTGGTGATGCGGCAGATTGCAACAGGGGAGATGTGGCAGATTGCAGTAAGAAAGATATGGCAGATTACAGCAGGGGTGATGTGGCAGATCGCAACAGGGGCAGATGTGGCAGATCGCAACAGGGGCAGATGTGGCAGATTGCAGCAGGTGAGATGTGGCAAATCGCAGCAGGGCAAGATGTGGCAGATCGCAGCAGGGGAAGATGTGGCAGATCGCAGCAGGGGAAGATGTGGCAGATCACAGCAGGGGTGATGTGGTAGATCACAGCAGGGGTGATGTGGCAGATCACAGCAGTGGCAGATGTGGCAGATCACAGCAGGGGTGATGTGGTAGATATCGCAGCAGGGGTGATGTGTAGAATGGCGCTGTAAACGCTGTGGTACCAGAAGGCTTGCATCCCCCTACCGCACCCTCAGGTGGCCCTCAGACTTCTGTCTATGCTGTCTGGTGACAGAAGTTGTCTGATAGCACTGGCCTTGTTACTACCTGAATCCCACATTTCGGAAGCCCAGTATGACAGCTCTCAGCAGGGATGGACTGGCCATCGGGCACAGCAGCCTGAGCTGACCCCAACACAATCAGGCTGATTGTGTTGAACTGGGCCGCCGAGCAAGTGCCCGGTGTAATTTGCCCACCCAAAAAAATGACACTGTTTTTCAAAGAGTAACTTTACTCACAAAAATAGTTGTTTTTAAGGCATGCCAACGGCCAAGGTTGCCAGCGTGCTTTTTACAGCTCTTAACTGAGCTTTCAAGACCTCAAATGGCTGATGTCATAGCTGGTCACATGCGCAGCACCATGACAGCTGCAGTCCAAATAGAGGCTTACATGGGAACTTCTTCGGCTGTAAGGAATTGGTGTTTGTAGTTCTGCTTTAAGGACGTATACAAGTGTGTCTTTTATTTAGAACATTGTTTAAAAAAATAACATACATTTCAAGAAATTTAATTATTTAATAACAGACTCCTCCCTCCTGCTGTTCAGCTGTAATAGAGATTTGAATTCCTATCACTTCCTCTTTCCTCTATGCTGAGTATGGAGTTCTGACTTGACCAATTCCATAGTTGCAATAAGAGAAAAAAAGCATTTCAGGGGGAGTTCTATACAAATAAAAAATTTCCCCATTTGCCATATTGAAAAAGAAAGGTCATTTGAAATTGTTTGACAGTTATAGGAAATCATAGCTGATCAAAATCAAAAGGTAATTTTTAATATTGAAATTCCAAAATGGTTTGGATAGAAATCATTTATGTTTTAACAAAAGTGAAGTTAAACTTATAAAATTGATATACATTAATTTATGTTTAAATATCACTGTATTTAAAAACAAAACATATTTCATAAAAAATAATAAAATAATGCGTAAGTATTATTAAGTATTATTATAATAATAAGTGTCATGTTTCATCTTCAGGAACGTCTTTGGAGAAAAAATCGTGCACCATTCAATAATGGAACCTGCTATGGGGTAGACCTAAATCGCAATTTTGATGTCCAGTGGTGCAGTAAGTGGATTCATTTAAATGCCTGACTAGATTAAGTAGCTACCAGTATGATTTATTGGTGAAGGGTTCCCACAGAAGGGTTCCTTACACTGATTTATTAATCAAAGAAATAGACTAATAACAATGACTACATTGTAGTGTAAAGTATGTTCACTAAGCAAAAAATCTTGTTGAACATTGTAATTACTGCACCATTTGTAAATTAACTCTAGTCTTCTGCTTACGAGTAGAGCAATCAGTTCAAATACTGTTTAATGCAAGTGGATAGTGCCTGTGAAGTGGCAAAACCTATTCTAAGTTTGGGTTGGTAAAAGAGAGATTTGTATTATAAAAATAATATTTATCGTCATGAATAGAGCATATGAGCAAATGTGAGCTGACTGTCGGCATTACCGAGATCCAGTCTTTACTGCAAACAGTGTCAGGAACGTCACCAGCACACCATTGATTTGTGTCAAAGAAAATTCTTCTTTATTGAAGCAAGTTGTCACATTACAAAATGCAATATTTTGGGGCCATGCGAGTCCCCTTCTTTAGGTTTAATATGAAGGGGACCCTGCGTGGCCCCCAAAACATTGCATTTTGTAATGTGACCTCTTGCATCAATAAATAAGAATTTTCTTTGATACAACTCAATGGTGTGCATCCGGTAAGGAGTGCAGCAGTACCCTCAAGTGACGTTCACTGCAAATAGGTCACCCTGACACGCAGCATTCATCCAGCTCTGGCCCTAAGTACAGCTTTTTCTGAACTCACTACTTATTGTTCAAACAAACAACTTAAACGAACCTTCAAGTGAGATGACCATTTTCTAAGAGGCACTCCTAACCACACAGCCAGCCCATATCCAGACCTTTTTGAAAAATTATAGTACTAAGATGAGAGAAATATAGCTTTGCATTTTTTAATCGCACCAAAAAGGTTATAAGCACTGGTCATTTCTAGATCACAAGATCAAGAAAACTAGCAAACTAACGCCTATTCATAAATGTGTTAATTTAATGGGAATTTAGACTGAATGGATTTCCTGCATCCAAGTGAGTCCTAGTATAGAAAAGTCCATACACAACATTCCAAGGCCACAAGTAGAGGGTCAGTGCTTAGCAAAGGAGGCACTACAAATCCAAATGTAAATACACGCCTGCCCACCAGCAAATGGTCCCCAAATGATGAAAACTTTGTCAAACATAATGTAGATGATGTTTCAGGACCACACATGACCCTTAATTAAGATGACATGTTCGTGGTGTTATGCTTGAAAAGTAAAGTTTTCCGCGCTTGCTGACCATTTGTTTGAGATCTGGCATCTATGTTCATTCTTACTGAACCCTAGCACACAGGCATGCATTACAGGTGAAACTTGAATAATTAGAATATCGTGCAAAGTGCATTTATTTCACTAATGCAACTTAAAAGGTGAAACTAATATATGAGATAGACTCATTACATGCAAAGCAAGATAGTTCAAGCCGTGATTTGTCATAATTGTGATGATTATGGCTTACAGCTCATGAAAACCCCAAGAACCCCAAATCCACAATCTCAGAAAATGAAAATATTACATGCAATCAATAAAACAAGGATTGTACATAGAACAATATAGGACCTCTGAAAAGTACAAGCATGCATATGTACTCAGTACTTGGTTTGGGCCCCTTTTGCAGCAATTACTGCCATTACTTTTGCACGATATTCTAATTATTCGAGTTTCACCTGTACTGCCCATTTAGACAATTTAACTGGCACATATTATTTGGCCAAGTGTATATCTCTTGCAAACTGTAAACTGATTATGGTGGTTATAAAAGGCAGAAAGGAAGCTGGTAAGCTGGGAGAACAAGAGCCATTGTGGGAAAAAGGGGAGGTAGAATGGCAGCTCAACAGTGATAGGAGAGGGAGCAGGTCAGAGAAGGTAGAATGGCAATTTATGTGGGTCAGGAGGGTATAGAAGGGGTAGAGTGGAAGCTGACCATAGCAGAGGGTATGTAAGTAGGGTATGGGTGGGGAGTAAATATAGCTAACCATGGAATATTGATAGAGGAAGAGAAGGCAGAGCATTAATAGATCAAGTACTGCTAAAATCAGAGCACCAGGCAGTGGACCTGGGTTACGTGATTCAGGCTTCCAAATAAATCAGCACCTTTGACTTTAGGCAAATATCACAGTGGTTTCCGATGAACATGCTGTGGTTGCCTCTTCATTTTGTAGCATTATAACCAAAGACAGAAAAAGAACCAACAGTAAAGGTGAAAAAGAGGCAGAGAGGATGATCTGAGGTAATGCCATAAGCCTAGGTACCACAGACATAGTCACAATTAGGTACCTTCTCCAGAGGCAGCCTGGGCAGTTCACACCTGTTGTCAACCACTTCACTCTAAATCCTACAGCTGCAGACTTGCTTGGCAGTAGAGTCAAGGACAATACGCCCTGGGAAAAGCAGAACAGAAAACATCCATTGCTCTTTTAAAGGAAGTACATAGTGGTTTTGTATACATTTTCTTGTATAATATAGATAGAATTAAAATATCTTGAACTTTTCTATTTCTATTCTAGTTAGGTATATATGAAATATTACATATAAATATTGTATATTCTTCATTCAGCCAGCAGGTAGCTTTCTTGGCTCTTTTTGCATGTTTTCCAGGGTCTTAAATGTAAAAGTGTAAGTTTACATTTACACTATTTTGAAATAAGTCAAAATAGTGACTCATCCACCTCACTCCATAGGGCTCTTTCAAAGGTTTCAATCAGGCACAATGAGCCTGATGGCAGACAGCTTCTGCCATGCTATCTGATAACACTTTTCCAGCAAAACATGTTAGAGATGCTCTGAGTCTTTTAGGACATTTTACCAGTTTGTACAGATCCTACAGCCCTCTGCAATAGCTGTTCTAGTGTACTAATCAGATTTCTATATTGTCCAATTACAATGAATCCACAGACTCTTTGCAAAGAGGATGGTATGTTATCCTGTGAGACATAGTTATTTGATTGATCTATCATTTGACTATATCACAGCCTTTTCTTTTTTGTGAATTACAATTTACATACTGGAACAGAAATATAATGTTTTAAACATTGGTATAAGTTTATATTTGTGTGTGTGTTTTTAAAGGTTAACAGCACATATCAAAGATAAGAATTTGTTGGATTTAAAATATCTAATGTTAAACATACTGACCCCACTATATATACTGATAGTGATGCTCTATAGCTATATAATACTGTTCCTGTTACTGCTCACACAAAAGAACAAAATTTACCCTGATTTTTCTTGTGTATAAAGTGAAAAAAATTAAAGATCAACTTTGCAAAGAATGTCCAATTATGTACAAGGAAAAAAAAAACAGGATTTTTGCTTGCACATAATTGGATGACTGAAGTCAGCACAGCCATTTAATTCACAATCTCATTAATTCGGCTAAGTGAAAATGTACTCTTTTATTGATTCAACCCCACAGCATAATTTAATATTGTATTCTTTTTACCCTTATCCAGCTATTGGTGCTTCAAGAAACTGTAGCACCAATACTTTTTGTGGGCCATCTCCAGCTTCAGAACTTGAAACAAAAGCATTGGCTGGTCTTATAGAAAGCATCAAGCCTAGTATTGTATTTTACCTTACTATGCATTCCTATGGGAAAATGATCCTCCTCCCATATGGTTACAAAGATGACGTTTCAAAAGACCATGAGTTAATGGTAAGTAACAGCATGTGTTTGAGTGTGTTTGCTTCTGCAGCAGTAATTGTACACTAGCTATATCATTAAGTAACAAAATTACAGCTTGCTGGCATGTGTGTAGAAATGTAAAAACCTAAATCTGCCTTTTTTCAGATGTGTGCTGTCATTTATTTGGCCATAAATTAATTATCCTTGAACATAGTATGCTTAACAATCTTATTACATTACATGTGTGCTGTACATATAGCAGTAATCATATGTGAAAAAGTTACAGCTGTGAATGGACTGCTGTCTAAACCACTGCCCTCTTACCCTGCTAGGATTTGGTAAACCGCTGCTTTTTGTACTGCTTAAAGCAACCTTGCTGTATAATACACCCAACTTCTGGTTTATTAGCCTCTCACCCCCATGTGAAATTACGATGAGGCTGATTTACTAAAGGAATTGAGAATGTTCACACAATACATTGAATACTAGGGATGCACCGATACCACTTTTTTAAGACCGAGTATGAGTACCGATACTTTTGATCAAGTACTCGCCGATACCAATTACCGATACTTTTTCCTAAAGGACCAGGTCACATTTTTTCTAAAGCAATACAAACTAATGATTTTAGGTCAGTTTCTTAATATTATGATTCATGAGATGACGAGGGAACATGACGCCAGCTTCCCGGCCAATCAGAATGCCGGGTGCTGCGTCATTACACGGCACCCGACTTCCGGCTAGCTTTCTGACCAATCAGGAAGGCGGGCAGCGCGTCATTACACGCTACCCGGCTTCCTGATTTGCCGGGAAGTCGGCTCCATGCTCTCTCATCACAAGTGACGAGAGAGTATGGAGTAGTTTCCCGGCCAATAAGGAAACCGGGCAGCGTGTAATGACCCGCTGCCCGGCTTCCTGATACAGGAAGTACTCGTGCTAGGTATCAGAGCATTTGGGCGAGTACGAGTACTCACCCAAATACTTGGTATCGGCACCGATACCAGTATCGGTATCGGTGCATCTCTATTGAATACAATCATGTGAAAAGAAAATCCCTACTAATTTCATCTGCTAATGACTCGATAATTGTGTGTACATTCTCAGTTTCTTCAATAATTCAGCCTCTATGAATTGACGCCATTTGGAGTACAGCAGCAGGGCAGAGCAGAGCAAAGATGAAGGCTCCTTCATGCACTTGCGCATGGGATACTGGCAAAACAATGTGGTGGTTATTCACTAAAGAGCCGAAGGATCCAGCCGTAGCTTCGGCTGATCGTTCGGCTCTCTTCGACGACCTTTGCCCTTTGCTTCAGTCGACCCGAAGGGCTGCTGTACAGGCTATTCACAATAGCTCGTACAGCAGCTGAAGGCAGCCGAGCAGCTCATCCGAGCCGAAGGTATATGCTTTGACTCGACTGAGCCGTAGTGACACCCAAAGCACAGAGAAAGGTCAGAGAAATAATTTTGCAACTTTTTTTTCTCATTGTTTTCACTTCTTTTCTATTCTGCTCGGTACCTCGGAGATACCGAGCAGAATAGGCGAGCCGAATACTGCTCGGCGGCATTTGGTTATTCACTCACTGCCGTTCGGCACCTATGAGAATAGGGGTGAATGGCAGCCAGTGAGCTGCTGGAGCTTCGGCACAGCCGATCCAGATGTTTGATCACCTGAGTCAAACTGCTGCACTTCAAACTGCATGCAGAGCATGTTCGACTGACCGAAGGCAGCCAAAGGCAGCAGATGTACGGGTGATTTTAGACGATGTACGGCTGAAATCAGCCGTACAAGACTGAAGTGAATAGCCGAACAGCGTTCGTCTCACTTCACTTCGGCTGGGCTATTCACTCGGCTGCCTTCGGCAGCTTTGTGAATAAACCCCTAAGTCTTTTATTTGAAAATTTTAGGACTCCAAGTCTAAAACAAGAGAAGTGCTGCTAATACATTAGGTGGCATACCCTTCTCTAATGACTACTACAGAGTGCAAAAATAAATACAGAGTGAGATAGATTTGCCCAAAGTACCAAGTTGAGTTTGAGCGAATTCCACATTTATTACCATGTTTCATGTTATACCCATATTTAGGTGTAAACCTGGAGTTCTAATCCTCTCCACTGTATGCAAAGCTATAAAAAGGCTGTACTTTCACTTTAACTTGCATTCAACTCTCACACATGCACTACCTCACACACCAAACACCCACACAATTGCATAAAACATAATTTTGATTTCACAATTTGTGGGACAAATGTTTTGGGGATCTAAACTGCTTGAATCTGAGATGGAGCATTGTTTTTATTTACTTAGTGATGGGCTGCAGCATATTTCTAAATAAAGATAAACTCCAGTTTTGTTAACTTTTCTTCTTTCATGTATACTGTATATATATATATATATATACACACGCTGTATGCTAGAAAATTTACTTCCAAATGAAATTATTAGAATTCATCAGCTGAGTGGTTGATCAAAGAAACTAATCTGAATGTCATGGTGTCAAGAAGAATGATTGAAGTTGTCCACAATAAGGTTTAATTAGCATCTGCCTTATTGAATTTTACTTTGGCTTCTTGATCAACCATGTCAGAATAGTTTGAACTTGATGCACCTTGGTTATTTTTGCTCCTTACTTAGTAAGCTTCTATAATGAACCCAAGGTTATAAGGTTTTATGTTTTTATGATGAACCTAAGGTAATAAGATTTTATTCGAATGTACTCACCATGAACAGCATAATAAAATGGATGATTAAACAAAAAAGTAAATATCACAATAAATCACCTGTTCTGATGAATAAAACAGCATTTTCCATTTGCTTGCACTTATTTACGTATCTGATTTTTTTAAACAATATTTTAGTGATTATTTTAGATAATATTTAAGTGATATTTAATGATTTATTTAAACATATATTGCCAGATAATGGGTTCTAAACCTATTTTAAAAACATGTTAGAACATTATTGTAAACAACATAAACATTTTTTTTCTCTGTAGCTTTGTGTACATTAATAAAATTAATTTGCAAAATGATTCAAAGACACACATTTGTTGCGAGATAAAAATAGTGATATCTGTAATTGTCTCTGTAGATGAAGGTTGCAACAAAAGCTAATGAAAAAATGAAGGAAAAACACAATAACGAATATGCAGTTGGAGCTTCAGCTTCTGTAATTGGTGAGTAAATTAGTGCATATTAATTATCACAGGTTTTACCAGACTTCTCTTTATATAGGCAATAAGAAGACAAAGATTATCAAATTCTACTAAAATCCTCCTGTCCGTTTTTCAGACAGTAGCTCAATGTTAGTCTGTGGGCAGGTGAATGTGAATGGACGTATGTCCATTTACATCCCGTTTCTAAGTCCATCTAGGTTAAAAAAAAAAAAAGGAAAAGACTTTTATACTGTTCCATTTCTTCCAACCTAAATGTGATGGATTAGAGGTAAATGATGTAAATGGATGCATGTCGATTTACAACCATGCTGTTTTTTTCTCCATCTTGTGAATGTTCTTTCCGTTCTGCTCCAATCTGTCTATCTGCTGATCAGAATGGACCCCCACCCATGTGAAAGGGGCCTAACAATGTACTAGAGATAAACCGTTTGAATGACTGTATCTTATAGCTTCCAAGCTACAGAATAGAAAATAACAATTAACAGCAGGAGATACGATGTGCAGAGTAAAGAGTTTGCATGTCAAACACATTTACTGTGCAATTAATAATATATTTTGTATGTTTCATGGGTAAATGCCAAATGAAAAAAAAATCACAGTTTATGCTTAATATTCAATGACCCCTTAAACTAAAATATTCAGGTTCAAGCCCAACTCCAGGTTTAAATCAACATTGACCTCTAGCATGTGTTAATAGTAAAAAAAAAAACAGCTCATGCTCCGAAGCCCAATTTTAATAGTGGTGGGCTTGATGTTCGAACGTGAGTTCGACTCGATCATCGGCAGTTCGTGTGTTCGGCTAATACATAGTTACATAGTATTTGAGGTTGAATAAAGACATTAGTCCATCAAGTCCAACCTATTAGGATCTCATTCTAGGAGTACCTGTACCCCTGTATATTACTAATGTTTGCCTACCGAGTGTCTCGCACAAGGCACTGTGCCTTGTGATCCCTGATTGGCTAAAGCCTTGCACCTGACCACGGGTCAGGTGCAAGACTTTGCCCAATCAGGGCACAGAGAACTGTGAGAGCCATGATTTGGCAAAGTCATGATGACTCAATCATGGCTCACCTGTTACAACTAGAAACAGTTGGGCGGAGCTAGCTGCTAGCTCGGCTCAATTGTTTATAAGTTGCCGACATCTGTCAAAATGCGATTCTGTGGCGGGTGTTCATCGCAGTAGACGGGACGGCTGTCGTCATGGTTTTTTTAAATTATTTATATTTATTTTTGTATTGTTTGTTTAATTTTTTATTTCGTCGAGTCGTCGTCATCATTGTGGACAACGATGGACGTCGTGATTGACCCTGGATTACATCAGTGGATCAATTTTTTTTTTAAATAACAGTTTTTTTCTAATAAAGGAATAAGTGTGGCCTCTTTTTTAAAACTTTTATTTAACCCTTCTGTAAATGGGTAGGGGTACAAGTACCCCTTACTCATTCACAAGGGGGGGCCGCATCTTGGTGTACCCTGATGTGCATAAGCCCACTGCCCGCACCCCGACAACCAACTCTCCAGGGCTTGTGAGGAAGAAGCCCTTGTCCCCATCGGCACGGGGACAAGGTGTTTTTCCATGGACAACCCTGAAAAAGCACCCTCCCTGTGCAGAGGGCATGTGGCCTGGTATCGCGGGGAGGGGGGGCGCTCACTCGCCCCCCCTTTCCTGCCCTGCCAGGCCTGGTTAGGGATTTTAGGGGTACCCCACGTTTCCCCCCCCACCCATTTTTGGGGGTGGGGTACCTCCTTAAAATTCCTACCAGACCTTAAGGGCCTGGTATAACTTTAAGGGGGAACAACACACACTTTTTTATTTGTTTTTTTTTACATGGGGTCCAGCCTAAAATTCCTACCAAACCTTAAGGGTCTGGTATGACTTTTGGGGGGAACCCCACACATTTTTTTATTTGTTTCATTAAATTGGGGTCCCTCCTAATATTCTTACCAGACCTAAAGTGTCTGGTATTGTTTGGGAAGGGGAACTGCACGCTTTAAAAAAAATTCATTTTTTTTCCTTTAGAAATGTCAGTTTTGCTGCAGCAGGTTCTATACATTGTACAGATGCGCTATTTCACAGGCAGTTAAAGGGGACCCCCGCAGGCACGATATTTAAAGGAATTTTTCATTTTTATTGTTACCCTTTAAGTGATGTTAAAATCACTGCTCCTTTAAAAACTTTATTTTTTAAAAGTGTTTTTTTTCATTGATTCACATACCGCAGAGCAGTACCCAAATCCCCATACATTTTTTATGGCCAATACATTGCATATAAGGCTTCAAATTGGGGACATTTGATTTTCAAAGTTCTAGCCTCATAGACTTGCATTGAGTTCGAACTTTTTCCATGTTCTAAAGTTCCAATGCGAACCGAACCGGGTGGTGTTCGGCCCATCACTACTAATAAGGCTAAACAATCCCCTATATTCATTTAAAAACAGGCACAACAGGCACTAAAACACCAAACCCCAATGATTTTTTGTGTGTTTTTTTTCATACCTAACTGAAAGTAAAAAATAAATATGAAAAACTGCAAGGGGGGGGGGCAGCAGCTAACCAGAAACTAAGGTTATTGCACACACATAAAAAGGTAGTCCTAAGGTAGTTCACACTATGAAGCCTACCAGACTGCAATTCACTGTAATGTAAAACAATACAGCGCAGAGTCTAGCACTGTATCTCTCATTGCAAACACTCCATAATCTCTACCTGCATACTCTAACATACACTGACCAAAGACTGCTGAGAACAATGACTTTTATAGAGAGGGGGTTGGAACATAAGAAATTCCCCATGATAAGCCCTTTTAAGCAACCTGGTCACAGTTCAGAGGTCGGGAAGTGCCTTATAGGTAATTGGTTAGAGCACACACATTAGTTTGCAGTTTCCTTGAACTGTGAACAACTTGGGTTCTGGTTTAACTTATGTTCAACCAAAACCCAAAGCTCATACCTACTGAAGCAGAAAATGTGTTGCAATGGGCAGTATCCTGCAGGTTGTAGATTGATGATGGTTGCTGTAGCGTATGGTCAATTATCCATTTGTTTTATATATATATATAATGTTCTTGTTTTATCCTTTAGGTTATTATGATTCTGGTTCATCTGGAGATTGGGCAACTGACATTGGAATAACATTTTCATATACCTTTGAGCTAAGAGACAATGGTACCTATGGATTCCAGCTTCCCCCGGATCAAATTAAGCCTACTTGTGAAGAAACCACCACTGCAGTAATGTCCATGGTAGAATATGTTCATGACAACTATCTTGAAAATAGTGCTATGGCAGTGACTGCTGTCTGGATCAATATGTTTATTTCAGTCATTTGCTTACACTATACAGTAAATCATTAAATGCCTTAGGCTAAGTACACACCACGCCCTCAGCCTCTGAGCTCCCCATTTTATAAATATTGACTGATTTTATGTAGGGTGAGGTATCACTGATGTCTCTTCTGACAGTGAACACTTTGAATACTATGCATTTGCTAAATTAATCTCATATGCTACATGGATGGGCTTCAATGTGTTCTGCAAACTTACTACAACTAGTTGGTACTGGTCTGCAAACAAATTATCAATCAGTGTTTCCTACCCCACACCAAAGAATCCATGTATGACAAGCATTGAATGTGATCTCCCTAAAATCAGTGTATATTGGGCCCAACAATTTGGTGATGCCTGAATGAAACATAAAATTGAGGTAGTAAATTGCATTAAGAGAGATTAAGTTAATAATTTACCCTTGAAATATTTAACTCAGCATAATGTTTCCATAATAAATTATACATTTCTGTTCTACTACTCTGTTCTACTCTTCTATGTCCTTTATTATTAATGTAAGTAAACAATCCTTATTGTTATATAAGTTGTATTATGTGTTAAATTAAGGGCTTTATCAGATAATAAGAGATCTGTGGGCTCAATCACGACAGTTTTGCTTTGTCTTCCGATATTTAGCCCCAATTGTCCACTGGATTAAACTCAGCCTGGAATGCATGCATAGATGTCTAGATCAGTGATATGCACCTCAATGGAACTCATTCCTGTTGCACTAGATGCACCTCTGATGACTTTCTAGGCACATGTATCAAGATGTGTCTGTAAAGATGTGGGAATTTGATCTTTTACACCTACAATTTGTCAATTTGTACAATTAAGCCTAATACTAAATATTAGGCTTAAATGTGACATTTTATTTCACTGTATAATATTTTTTATTCCTTTAGGTGAGCACATACATAGAAGTAGCCAAAGTCCAAAGTTGCAGTTAACAGTTTTTTTGGGGTGTCATGTCCTCAAGTGCAGTTCTTAAGTCGATGAGTGATAACTAATACAAGATTTGCTTCTTATGGCCTTCTCTGCTATGATTATTGCCTTATGAATGACTAAGCCTAGCTTATTTTACAAAGTATACTGCAGAGAAATATGTAGGCTGTTGCTAAATAATTTTAGACAAAGTTAACTGTCTGTCAGTCTGTCTCTGGCTTCAGTACTCTCTTTTACAAAAGCTTTATTATTCAGAGCTGAAGACAACAGTACAACAGAGAAGTTTTGACAATGACACAGTGGTATAACTTTGTTAAGGTTCCCAACACTAGGACAGACAACTAGGGGTCACAGTGGTGCAAGAAGATGACTTGCACCCAAGACAGAAACATATTTCCAAATCCCCACTGACATATGGCAGCAAGCAAATTTATTTTATAGGTCACTGACCTCGAACAACCATTAAGCAAGTAAAGTCAGTGGTGATGAACGGCATGTTCAAGTCAACAGTGAGTTTTACCCAAACTCTAGCAGGGTTATTCACAAAGCTGTCGAAGGCAACCGAGTGAATAACCGAGCCGTAGTGAAGTGAGCTGAACAACGTTAGGCTCAGCTATTCTGCTCGGTACCTCTGTGGTACCGAGCAGAATAGGAAATCAATGAAAAAAGTTGAACAAAAGATTTAAAAAATGTAAATAAATGTTAAATCTAAAAAAAAGGATTAAAAAAAAAAACAATTTGGTGGAGCTAGCAGTGACAGCTAGCTCCGCCCAAATGTTTCCTATTGGCCGGGACTTTTCTTGTAAAAGACAATCTTGGTAAAAACCATCCTACATCGTGAGTCTTCCTATTGGTCTTTTAAAATGATGGGTAGGCCTACTGCTTGCCAGAAGGTCTAGGGAGGTAAAGTAAATCTCATCTTTAATATTTAAAGTCAAGATCTGCATTTTACTGCAACTGCCTATATCTCCGTATCCACGGGATACATGCACAGGCTATGAGTACCACCTTCTCTGTTTTGATAGAATTTTTATTTGATATGGTTGTTATTTGGGTACCACACATGTCTTTTTATGTGGCTATCAAAAAATTCATCTGCATTGGCTTTTTTTTTCTAAAGATTAGACCTTTTTACGCTTTCATTCATGTTCACAATAAGAAGGGAGACTGACACATCTTCAAACTCACTATTGTTGCCTTGTAAATTTTCTGTGTTCTGGAAGACAATATGTGCCTGTGTTATCACTGTTTAGTCGAATAATACCTTTGTCCATATCTTAATGAGACTAAAGTCAACTTATTGACTGGAGAGAAATCTGAAGAAATGTCACGAGGTAATAACTGTTGTGTTTTAGGAGCAAAAAAATCACAATATGCAGGAGTCCTGTCAATAACATTGATAAAATAAGATAAACTTGACACACTTTGTGTTGAAATATTGATTACAGTGACATTGACATACGCGCTGAGGTATAATACTACAAACAGAAGCACGGTTATTTAGCTTGACTCATTCCTTGCTGAGATGTTTTAATGATCCAGAAAACACTTGAAAAAATGCCAAATCACCAAAAACCAACTGGATACCATTCCATTGGGATTATTCTATACCCAAATTGTCACTTGCACATGTATAAAAGCTGAAACAACCAGACACATTATGAAAAACAAGAGGAGTATTAAGTGCCAGCTTCACATGAAAATAAAAGGCCACCGCTGAGCTTTGAGCAATACTAGGCTCTGAGACCAAGTGATCTGCATGTGGAGGTGCAAAGACATAGGATAGTGGCACAAACAAGGTAGAAGGTGGACAGAAGTAGAGTTGGCAGAGGAAGGACAGTACAGGTAGGAATTTCAGCTTCCACAAGATAGATTTCAATATCTTCAACATTGCCACGCATTATCTGCATGGTTAACGTTGTTTCCCTTGTAGGCTCATTGTGCCCCTTTATTTGGTCAGTGACTTGGAAATTTACTACAAAAGGTCTTATTTCTACCATTTCTGCTACTATCTTCCCTTTGATTCCTAATAAACAAAATCAGCTACACTGTAAAACAAATTGGGAGCAAGAAACAAATTGTGGTCTATTGTCAGACTCTATTTTTATTTGGGTTACCTTCCCTGCAGAAGACTTTGGGGATACATGCAAATACAGTGGCAGAAGTTATATTTGAGACAAATACAATTTCTGTCTATTTACTGTAATAATTAATTAATGTTATGCCAAATCAGCAGTTTCCAGTTGTCTCTGTGGAAGAACCTAAATATAAACTCTCTAAAGCAGAATCAGCAAATGGCACTTGCTGGAATGTTGGCAATGACAGCTACAATCTCACCACTGCTGTCAGAATGTGAGCACTGTCAGCCTCACCCTGCGCAGAGATTTTCCAGCCTGCAGGACAACAATTACAGGGTCTCTGGTACTGCAAGAGATAAGATTCATGGTAAATATAGCCATCAACTAAGAACAGTTCATGGCTAGTTCTGTAGTAAGGTAACTGAACAGGACTTATGAATTTGGTAATTTGTAGAATGTCACATAATTAAACTTGCATGCAAGACAAGCTTTCTTGAACTCAGATGCCGTAACTGCATTTATATCAGGTCATTTCGTCAACTCCCAACTTCGTCAATTTTGTCAACTCCGCCCATGCTTGCCTCCAGGACTTCTCTAGAGTCTCTCCCATCCTCTGGAACTCTGTACCCCAACCTGTCCAACTACCTCCCACTCTGATTGCCTTTAGGTGATCCATAAAGACTCATCTCTTCAGGGAAGCCTATCCCAGCTCCCAACTAACCATTCAACCATCACGTTCTCAAACAATTCATCCCCACACAGCTACCTCCTCATGTATCACTTGCCCATCCCTTTTAGATTGTAAGCCTAAGAGGCAGGGCCCTCCTTACCATCTTGTCTTGAATTGTATTGTGATTGTTTTTTTATTTTTATTTTATTTTTGAAAAACATTTTTATTTGTTTCAAATATGTTGAATATACAGACAGTGTTACAGTGTACAAGTATTACAGTGTTACAGAGAAGTAGATGTCATAATAACTAGGAACATGCTGTCGGATCAATAAAACACTTTCTAGAATGTGTACCCTGTCGTAGCCTCATCCTGTGGAGTAGGAATTCGGTAGCAGCGGGTCTCAAAGAGACTAAAATTTCACTGAACACTAACAGTACCTGAGGCGGTAGGAATTATACATATTTGCAATATAATACTCAGGTGTCAATAGTAACAAAGCAAAACAAAAATTCTAAGTGAGTCAAAAGTATAAGGCGGGTGGCTTAGAGGGTTTACAGTACTCACTATTAAATTGAAGTCGTGACTAGATACCAGCTCCAATGAAACAGAAGGTCCCTCCAGATCTTGAAGCAGTCGGGGATCCAGCGATGACAAGGAGTTAAGGTTGCACATCTTGTGGGGTGGGTAAAACAACAATGGGGTCCTCCCATCTTTACCTTGGCTTCACGGCGAATCCGTGGGGGTCATGTGGAGGCGGGTTGGGGCCTTTCTAGCCGGCGTAGTAAAGTGGTGTATCATTTGTTTTGCTACCAACAGTACACAATATAGAAGTATGTGTCTCAACATAGACATATACTTTACAAAGTTTTTTCAGTATGGTACACCTAGCAGAGCCACTTAGGTTTACTCAGAAAGAGATATTTCCTATTTTTCAATATACCAACGTTCATCAAATATAAGGAAATGACGAGTGGTCTGATCTTCAACGCGCTTCGCATAAACTTCTTCAGGAAGAAATCGAGGCAATCTACAATGTTCATTAGAACAAGGTAAGTGTACAGCATTCTTACATATGCATTGATGATATAAAGTCAACACATATGGGGATAACTCCAGTCACTAACTGAATGCCACTACTGGGGAGCTTGATTCAAAGGAATTGCCGAGGGGGCCGAGAGTATACTCTAAAAATCTATAAGGGATTAGTTAAGCATAATATCTAATTAATAAATACTAAATCAAATATTTAAATGTGGATAGGATGGTGAAAGGAACATCAGATTCTTCATCATGAAATGAGAGGTGCCCCTTTTCCATGTATCCACAACCAGCCACTTAATGTAGACCTATAACATAATTAACATCCATAATGATGTCAATCCTTATGTTCCCAGGGATATATATCACCAACATGCATATCTACCAATCACAACCACAACCAATAACCAGATATTCACTAATTATAGATTTAGTGAAGCAAAAAGACCCCTGCACATAATAGCAGTTCTATTTTTTCCAATGTAGAATTCAGCACGCAAATTTGTTGATTGCATTTTTATAGTCACTGGCAGGCAACCAAGCACAGGGATAGGGTCTCCTAAATAACTGACCAGTTTCGGAATAGGTGCAGAGAGTGGATAATTTGCAAAGTACTTCAGGTAAATTTCCTTAGGCAGTATGGAGTCAGATCCTGTATAAGCCTTCAGAATAATGGAGTAGCTCCTGTTAGCATAAATGGTAGTAATAGTTAAGGTGACAGGCGAGTGCCCCCCCCCCCCCCCCCCCCCCACCCCCCCCCCCCCACCCCCCCCCCCCCCCCCCCGTCCCTGCCATACCAGGCCACATGCCCTCGGCACTGGGAGGATGTTTTTCCAGGGGGCCCCCTGGAAAAGCACCTTGTCCCCGTGCCGATGGAGACAATGGCCTCTTCCCCACAAGCCCTGGGCCGTTGGTTGTGGGGGTGCGGGCAGAGGGCTTATTCACATCAGGGTACTCCTTTAATAAAGGGCACCCAGATGTGCCCCCCCTTGTGAATAAGTAAGGGGTACTTGTACCCCTACCCATTCACTAAAGGGTTAAATAAGAAATAAATAAAAAGTCCAGACTTTTAAAAGAAATCCTTTATTTTTTTTTAAAAATGCAACAAAGGATTTTTGACAAATCCTTTATTGTAAAAAAAAATCTAAAAAATTGATCCACCAACGTAATCCAGGGTCAAGCATGATATCCAGCATCCACCACGATGACTCGGCAAAATCAAAATATAAAAATAATAAATAAGTAAAAAATAATTTTAAAAAACCTGACGCCCGTCGACCTGATCGCACACAAAGAACTCCTGCAGCAGAATGAAGAATCTGACAGATGCCTGCAAAATATAAACAATTGGGCGGAGCTAGCGAGCAGTGACATCCGCCAGAGCCCTTCGGTTCAATTGAACCGAAGGTCTGCAGTACAAGCTATTCACTGTAGCCCGTACAGCAGCCAATGGCAGGCGAAGGGCTCAGCATATGCTTCGACTCGGCTGAGCCATAGTCTCAGCCGAAGTTGATCTCTCATTAAACAACAAATGGGTAGAGCCGGCCGTAATGTCACGGCTAGCTCCACCCAATTGTTTACATTTTACCGTCACCTGCCAGAGTCTCCTAGCAGGTCCCGAGCAAATGAAAACAACTGGGCGGAGCAGGCCGTGACATTACGGCCGGGTCTACCCATTTGTTGTTTAATGAGAGATCATCATCCTCAGGTCATTTGAGGTAGCTGATCTGCTATTACTACACAACAACTGGGCGGAGCCAGCCATGACATCTCGCCTGGCTTTGCCCAGCTGTTGTCCTTTACGGGGCAGACGGCAGGTTTCAGCAGACTGGTTGCCCTGCTTCGACTGAGACCCCGAAACATATGCTGAGCCCTTTGCCTGCCATTGGCTGCTGTACGGGCTACAGTGAATAGCCTGTAGTGCAGATCTTCGGTTCAACTGAACCGAAGGGCTCTGGCGGCCAAAGTGAGCCAAATGATCAGCCTAGGCTACGGCTGGATCCTTCATCTCTATAGTGAATAACCCTCATAATCTTGCCCCTGTACAATGCAGCAGTAAGACCTGCAGTTTAGTTTTGGGCACCTGTTCACAAATAGGATGTTATGGAACTGGAGAAAGTGCAGCGAAGGGCGACCAAACTCATTAGAGGCATGGAGGAGCTCAGCTATGAGGAAAGATTAGCTGAACTGAATTTGTTCTCTCTTGAGAAGACGCTTACAGCTGCGTGCATTGACTTTCACTGTAGCTCTCCTTTTCTCCCTGCCGGTGATGTCCACTGTGTTCGCACACATCCTCCTGCATGGCAGCTCGAGAAGCTACAGTTCTACAGCAGGCAGCAAGCGGCGGAGACAGAGGTAAGTTTTTACCTATTTGGTAACTTTTTTATTTTTTAAATGTTTTTGCATATATCTATTGCTTGCTAGCAGTAGATATAAGTAAAAAAATTGAGACTTTAATGTCACTTTAATAGGGGTTTTTTTTGCCTTTCACTGGATCAATAGTGGATAACAGTGGGCATAGCATTCTGTTTTAGATGTTCTGTTCTGGTTTAGGTTTTTCTTCTCTTTCTTTTTTTTTTCTTATCTCTATAGGTTGAACTCAATGAACTTGTGTCTTTTTTCAACCTGACTAACTATGTAACTATGTAGCAACCTCTGGGGCAGGGCATGCAGTATAGTTGTCAATGTGCTATGTTGAACCACCCTGTAACTACTACTTCTAGTTCTAGGTATGTCCAGCTCTGCATTGCAGTTTAGATAAATGTCCATTTGTATTTGGATTGAATATACTGTATGCCTTATGAAAGGCAGATTCTGAATTCACAGCCTGTATGGTGCAATTAAATCAGCAGGGGCTGACTGGCAGCTTTTAGCCCAGGGGGCAAGTACAACCCAGAGGCTTAATCAGCAGAAGAGGGACCTGAAGTTTTCTATCAAGTCCACCTCTGTTGATTGACAGCTGGCAGTGGGCGGGTGCAATAGCCAGCCTGTTATTGGCTACTGCAATTTAAAAGAGCCAATAGCAGGCTGGCTATTGCGGTCTGCTGCTGGAAAGAAGATGATCGAAGACGCTGCAGAGAGGTGATTAGACTGCGGGGGGGGAACTCACAGACTGTCGGAGGGCTCTCCTTACAGGCTGTAATTGGCAATCTGTCCCCACTGACACAGATCACTATAGCCTGTAGGGAGAAACCACTGACAGTCTGTGAGGCTGCAGCGGGGAGAACCAGTGTACCAGCAGATATCTGTGTGATAATGTCCCAGGCACAGTTATCTGCTGGGACAGGGATTCCATTTCTCTTGCCTTGCGCTAGCGCCGGGACTGCCGCCACTGTTAGCGGGGGGGCACACGGGGGGGCAAGTGATAACCTAGGGGGGGCAATTGCCCCCCTTGCCCCCCTGTAGCGCACAACTGCATGGAGTTAAATCATTCTTCAAGAGCAATCTTTCTCTAATGTCTGCTTAACCTTTATCTTATTTTCATTTGTTAGAGCCTGAAATGCACAGGTAACAACCAAGTCTCTTAAAGTAGCTATACTTTGTACTGTGGATTTGCTATTATGCTGCCTATGTTGTCAGTTTATAGCTTTCTGCATCCACATTTACTTTAGGCTCAAAGCAGATCTTTAAAGAGGAACTTTACCCATGGGTAACTGCTCCAGATTCTGTCTGCTCTGGTTTTGATACATTTCTACCGTCTATGTTTATAAAAAACATCTGGCTGCTACTGCAGCAGGAATCATTCATTTAGTGGCTGTATTGCTACCACCACTGTTAATCAGTACCTGGCCAATCCTAGTACTGACCACGGTTTTCTGGATTAAGTGAGAGAAGAGCTCTGTTGCTGAAAACCTTTCTCTGTGAGCTGCACTGTTTGGAAAGGGAATTGTATAGGTGCCCATACACTGAACGATTATCGTACGACACGAACCGTTCGACGATCGAATGGTCGCACGATATATGATAGATGCACCCATCTTGTACAAACCAAAGTCGATCGGTAAATCGTACGACCGTATATATAATCGTACGATTCTGATCGACCGACGGTAGTGATCGTTTGACCCCCAAGCACTGGGCGTCATCGTTAGTACAATGCCCTTTACAAGGCAAGAATCCAGAGCATTCTTCCTCTTCCCAGACTTGTTGAAAAGCAAAGGATGGCTGAGGATATGAATAGCATGGCTATTGTCATTGTTGGTCTTTCTCTCATTCAAGCTCGTCTGCAATGCAGGTCATCGCGTAGAAGACTGTGGATGAAGAATTGGTTGCGGCAACGTGACATGTATTCACATGTTGCACTGCTGCAGGAATTGAGGGAGAACAACCCTGTTGAAACCGTAGATGGCCTGAATTTTGTATTTGCCGCTGATGAAGCTTTTGCCCTTGGCGATCACCTACTTAAGCCCATTCCCATGCGTGGTCTGACAGCACAGCAGCGCATATATAACTATCGCTTATCACGTGCACGCAGAGTGGTGGAGAGTGCGTTTGGCATCATGGCCAACCGATTCCGCATTCTCCACACTCCCATCAACCTGAGTTTACCAAAAGTGGATATATTGCTGTACTGCTGCTGTACCCTTCACAATTATCTTCGGCGTCAGGGCAACTCCTACATGTCCACACACATCCTAGACCAGGAGGATGTTGTGAGTGGCATCATACAGCCAGGGGAGTAACAAGCGATCGTTTGTTCGGAAAGGTATGGCGTCCCTAGATGCCGGAAATACGAATGCCCGATCGTACTTGCGGATACCCATGCCACGCCCTTTTATACAGGTGCGTATGATCACCGCTTCGTAAGGACCAACTGACCCACACTGACAAAATGGAGGGACAATCAAGGTCACAGCCAAAGACCAGAGCTGCTAAGGTGAAGGATAGCAGGCCCAAGAGGACATCCTGTATGTCCTTACAGGAAATGGTGGAGTTGGTGGAGATAATGGAGCGGCAGGATTATGACTCAGGACATATGAGCAGAGGAACATCAGGAAGGACCGGATCCTGGATGAAGTGGTTCAGAGCTTGCAGGCCAAGTTCAAGGTCACCAGGTCCAAAGACCAGTTACGAAAACGGTGGTGTGACCTGAAGTTGAAGTCTACATGTTTTTGGCCAAAAGTTTGTGCAACTAAAACCTCTGATTTTAACGCATACTGTTGACAGGGCTACTTGTTTGGTTGCAGGCTGGCTGGCAGGCTGAGGCTGGGGAATTTTTGTGTTTTGTACTGAAGTTGAGGGAGACTGCCCAACTTGCAAGGATCCACAGGTTGATCCGTAGGGGTAAGTGTGAGCTTCATTATTATTGCATGTACACATATGATGGGAGATATGTTGAATGTGGCCATCCAGCCCTAGTCTCAGAGGAGTAGTGGAGCATGCAGTGGTGTAATGTAGTTTGATACATATGATGTATTTGTTTCATCCAACTTTAATGTCTGTCCATGCAAAGCTGGACAAGACAAGGTGTCATTCTATGCATCCATCATGTCCAAACCTGTGACACATATATGTACATGTCATGTTCTTTATGCCTCATATAACAATTGTATTTTTTGATGTTAAAGGTCAGAGGAGTGTTGAGCGTAGGAGCCAGGGCAGCGAGGGTGCTTCTGAGGTGGCCATGGAGCAAGCTGTTGTGGAGGAGGCTGACGTTGTGGTGGAGGTTGTGGACTCCTCTTTGTCCTCTTCTTCTGGTATGCCCTGTTTTATCAC